AGAATTTGAGCCCCGTGACCGGAGGACAGAAAATTCAGATTACCACCCAGCTAAAGGTGGAGGAGATGAAAAGGACATGGGCAAAATAGCAGCAGGTTTTTCCTGGCAACAACATCCATGTTTTTTTTAAAGAACAGGAAGCCATGTTTACTCTGTTTAAAATACTGTTTTAGAAAACAAAAGCCGCGATCCTCTTATTTTGTGGCATAGCCCATTGAGATGGTAAGATGGTGTTGTCCACCAGTTATTATAAAGTTTCCCTCCACCTGCAACTGAGTTCAGCTCCCATTGACTGCAACTGGTGTTTTTTCAACTTTGGCAAATTTCAGATTTGTGGACTTCGGTTCCCAGAACCCCCCAGCCAGCCTTGAAATTGGAGTTGGAGTCCATCCATCTGAAAGTAGATAGGAAGAAAAGAAAGAGGGAGAGAGGAAGGAGGGAGGGAGGAAGGAAAAGGGAGGGAGGAAGTGAGGAAGGGGAAAGGAGGGAGGGAGGAAGAAAGGAAGGAGAAGGTAGGAGGGAGGGAGGAAAGAGGAAGGAAGGGGGAATGCGCAGCTCAACTTACTTGAGCAAGTGCGTGCACACTGGACACTTGCGCAAATGGAATTGTGCACACGTGGTCTCCCCACCCCCCACCGCTGCCGCCACTACCGCCACTGGTCCACAAAGCTGAAAGCATTAGGGACTGCTGTGCTAGATGAAGAAAACATGGACGAATCTCTGGGCCTTTTAAATTTGCACCCAACCACAGAGATATTTATTTCTTGTAGTGTTTCTGTGTCCTTGATAGGACCTACAACTTTTGCTGCTATCTTTGTTTGTTGACCATTAATTGGTAACTGATTAGATCTTTTTGCTGCCAGTTGTATTTTCTCCCTAATGGCCCGCTGTTTTGATTAGAGTTGTATTTCCTCCCTAATGGCCCGCTGTTTTGATTATCTTATCCTTTTCTTGCTTTCACTTACAGGGTTGTAAAAAGGGAGTTACTTATTTGAAGCCATTAAACATTGTTGGTAATCTTGGGCCACAAGCAAACAGTTAATCCACGAGGAAGTAGTGATCTGCCACTACATTCTTTTGAAGTTTTTCCCCTCCCAGCTTCCTAGCAAGTTCCTAGTTGTAATTAGCCCCCCTTCCCAGTCCGGACCAGATGTGGCTCCACTTAATCTTTCTGAGCTAAGTCAAAGACGATTAGATGTTGCCACTGAGGGCAACATACTTTTTTTTTTTTAGCAGCTAGTAAAAGACACACAGGTATGAAAGGAAAAAATGTTCCCAAGTTGCAGAGATGCCACAGATCAAGTATTTGGCTGGTTGATCTATCCAAGCAGATAGATCCCGAGCCAAGAATAATACAGGGGCCGTGGCAGGAACTGGGGAGAGGAGGAGAAAAAGAAAAACAAAGCAGAGTTAATTTCAAGAAGTGATTCAGAGCGATGTTGTTGAAACAGGCCTGTAAGCAAGAAAGCCAGGACCTTCGCATGTCCAAGAGATCTTGGAAGGAATGGAATGTACCACGCAGGCCTCCAGAGCTTTTGGCCTCCTCCCAGGTTCTCAGATGCTAACTGTCCACAAATGAAGCCCTGCTCTGAATGCCAAAGGCCTGGCCTCTCAAAAGAGGGGTGGGTCACGCACCTGCCTCGCTCATGAGCGTCATGGGCAGCGCATGACATAAGCTGGGAAAGTCACATTTGTGTTCGTAATGCCAGCCTGCGGGATTGTCCTGGAAGAGCGTGGTCAGAAGAGGTCAAAAGATGCAGTGATCGTCCGGCCTCTCCCTTGGGACTCCTGCTTTCTGACACCTGTCTTCTAAAACAAGAAGGGCAAAATGTATCTCTCTCCTTATCAGCCGCACAGCCCATCACAAGCCACAGTGAACCAGGGTGTAGGAAACCTAGTGTAGAAGTTGTGCAGGGCGTCTACGTGGGTGGCTAAAAATAAGGGTAGGATGCAGATGTTTCAAACTAAAGAGGACCTGAAATATTTCAACAGAAACTAGAGAACAAGGCTGGTTCACACAACACATTAGACAGCCTACATTAAAAAATCACATCTTTCTTTCAGCCATCGTGGGCTGGATTTCCTATAGATTCCATTATATTGTTCCATTTTCTGCATCAAGACTGCATTAAGCCATCAAAGGCTCCATAGTTCTCAATTTATAACCATTTGTTTAGTGACCATTTGAAGTTATAAGGGCATCTCTCTTTAATGACTTGTTACTTCTTGTCCTTTGGAAAATAAGTCAATCCTCTCTTCTCTGCGACAGCAGAGCCTTCTCTTCAATAGATCAAACATACCCTAGGCTCCCCTTTCCATTTTTATACTTCTCCCTTTTCCTCCCAAATTGTCTGAAAGAATGCAGAGAAGAGCAACAAAGATGATTAGAGGGCAGGAGGCTAAAACATATGAAGAACGGTTGCAGGAATTGGGTATGTCTGGTCTAATGAAAAGAAGGACTAAGGTGACAATAGTAGCAGTGCTCCAATATTTGAGGGGCTGCCAAAGAAATGAAGGTGTCAACCTATTCTCCAAAATACCTGAAAGCAGAACAAAAAGCAACGTATGGAAACTAATCATGGAGAGAACCAACCTAGTCAGTGAGAACAATTAATGAGTGGAACGTCTTGCTTCCAGAAGCTGTGGGTGCTCCATCGATGGAGGCTTTTAAGAAGAGACTGGACAGCCATTTGTCTGGAATGGTATAGGGTTTCCTGCCTGAGCTGGGGGTTGGACTAGATGACCTCCAAGGTCCCATCCATCCAACTCTCTTATTCTGTTATTCTTTGTGCAACCATGCTGGTTTCATCTGGAGTCTCTAGTTTTTCTTTCTTTATAGTATTGTTTTTGTTTGGGTTTTTATTATCTCGTTTTTTATGGTTTCCCAAGTGTCTTGAACAGGAAAATCCCTGTAGGATTTTCACCCATGGAATCTCTCTTCTTGAAATAGAATTAGTTCATGTAGTTCTGTTTCCTCTGTGGCTTACAGGAGGGCCGACTATAATGGAATTTTTGTGAAACACTGCAATCTGGTGGCACAATAAAATATTGCAGACTCAGTGCCTGAAAAGAGGACGATAATGAAATCTGGCTGAGGAATTCTGGGAGTTGAAGTCCACAAGTCATCACAGGGCCAAGTTTGAAGACCCCTGCTTTACATGGACGTTTTGCTGAAAGAAGAAATAAATAACATGATGATGTCTGAGTTTGAAGATTAAGAAAGATGTGGATTAAATGAGGGGCTGAAGGGATTTGTGTAATATCTAAGATGAGGAAGGACTTATAAGATTGTAACTTGGTTGAAACGAAGGTCGGATGTCATAACATTTCTTCAATTTATTTTTTTATTTTTTATTTTTTCCACTTTCTGCCTTGCTTCCCTTTTCCTTTTCTCTTTTGATTTGCTTTTTAACTCTATGAAAAAAATCTTTTATATTTTTTTTTAAAGAACTATCTTACTCAAAATATCAAAACAGGACCATCGATGGCATATTTATTTGTATAGTATGACTTGCCTCAAGTGAGGGCTGAAACACGCGTAACTGCATTGCAACTATTTATGATTCTAATTCTGTAACAAGATTTTGACTCCTCCTGACCTACATTCATTTTGAGGAGGAGCCTTCTTCACCTCTTGGAGATCCCACGACAGAGTTCAGAAAGCTACCTTTTTCTGAAGCCCTGCCCTACTCCATCACTCGTTTCTTTCCTTTCTCCTGCTGCAAATATTGCAGGAGTTGGCTTTGAACTCTGAGGAACATCATCACGGAAGTGAAAAAGTTGGAAGGATGGTACCAACTTCATAGAAGACTGTGTGTTTCTACTCTTATGTTCCTTTGAGGGCAACGGGGAAGATGAAGCAAGAACAGTCCTTCGGTGCAAGACATTTCAAATAGACTGTGAAGAACAGGGCAGGATTTCTGTCTGTGTAACAAAAAATCATCACTTAACTATAACAGACTAGGATCTTAGCAGTTGGTGATATCCTGCAAGGAATTTCTTTTGATGAGTTACTATTATTTTTGGGGTGTTTTCAGTGTTCTCAATCTTTTTTTAGGAATTGGAAATTTGGGAGGGGAGCTGCTTTTCTTGGGAGAAGTAGCCCATAATTTCCTGATAGTTGGTTGTGGTGGCTTTGGGACAGTTTTTGGTGTTTTCTTAGGAGAGGGCTTTTTGGAGATAGGAGGTGACCCTTTCTTCAAAGTTGTTGGCGGCAGTTTCTTCAATGTTGTTGGCTGTGCTTTCTTCAGAGGTCTTGGTGGCACTTTCTTCAGCATGGTTGTTGGAACTTTACTTGGAGTCGCTGATGACATTTTCTTGAGAGCTGTTGTTGGCAGGAGTTGGCTTTGAACTTTCTTCGGAACTGCTGGAGGCTTTTTCTTGGGAGCTGCTGGTGGTCCTTTCTTGGGAGCTGCTGGTGGTCCTTTCTTGGGAGCTGTTGGTGGTCCTCTCTTGGGAACTGCTGATGGTCCTTTCTTGGGAACTGCCGATGGTCTTATCTTGGGAGCTGTTGATGGTCCTCTCTTGGGAGCTGCTGGTGGTCCTCTCTTGGGAGCTGTTGATGGTCCTTTCTTGAGAACTGTTGATGGTCCTCTCTTGGGAACTGCTGATGGTCCTTTCTTGGGAGCTGCTGATGGTCCTCTCTTGGGAGCTGCTGATGATCCTCTCTTGGGAGCTGCTGATGATCCTCTCTTGGGAGCTGCTGATGATCCTCTCTTGGGAGTTGCTGATGGTCCTATCTTGGGAGCTGCTGGTGGTCCTCTCTTGGGAGCTGATGATGGCAATGACATCTTTGAAATTGTCTGCATTATTTCTGAGGTTGTCCATGTTATTTGAAAGCTTGTGTTAATATTATTCTTCGAAGACTGCTTGGACCAAGATGGACCATGGGATTTCATTGGGTTGACCAACTTCATGGCCAGATAACCCTGAGTAAAGAAAGTTAGAAGATGGTGGAAACCAGTGAAAGCTGTACTGTATTATTCATTTGTCTCTCTTTCTCATGAGTAGCACTCATATGACTGAAAGAGTCCCACCCTTACTACTTATAGTGCATGATTCCCCTTCGTGGTTACATTTTTGCATTCTTTTCTCAGAAGACTTACTGGAGCTGCGTAGATGAAATCTACAAATAGCCAGATCACCAGCAGGATGCAAATGAAAATCAGGATCTTCCATTTACTCTTCTGCCATATAATAAAGTGGATGCTCTTTAAGGGGGCTGTGAACCATAGGAAAGAGGTCTCCGGTCTCCTAGTTTGAGGGAGAAGAATGAAGAGAGAAGAAGTGATGAGATAGCAGTTTTATTCATCTTAGCTTCATTCATCTTTTATTTGCTTATGCTCACTCATCAGCTGAAGACCAGCCAGGGTGGTCTGGCATCTTTGATCCCTTGCCATTAATTTCTGCTCCATCCTGGAATCCATAGTTGAAGGACCCCACAATGATGTCACTGGGGCATTGGGAGAAACATACATTGCCCATGGCATCTACAAGACTTCTGTCAAAGATTGTGGTTTCTCTAGGATGCATTTTTCAGAGTCTTTTAACCCCTAGACCTGGTCAGGGTAAACTAGTTGGAATGAAGGTGGTTTAATTTGCATTTTCCTGCCTGTCTTCTTGAGATTTTCAATCATCCAGATCATGGTTGTCCCAAATGTGCTTTTTCCAAAAGGTAACTGAACTTTCTTGGGTTTTTTTTTTTTCTTTGAAAGAGAGCGAAGAGAAACAAGTTTCTTCAGTTCTCCCAACTACGAAGAAACTACGGCCAATTTCACCCAAGAAAGAGAACTGAAGAAGCTTCTAGGATGAGAAGGAAAATGTTTTCAAAGAAAAAAGAAATCAAGAAAGTCCGGTTGCCTTTTTGGAAAAGCACTTTTGGGATACTTTCCTGCCTCAAAACTTGCCAATCCCTGTGAATGGTGATGTAAGGCTACCGCTTCCTTCCATACTGTCTAAAGATGAGAGGCATCATGGTTCTGAGGACAGTCAGAGGACATCCATGTTCTGATCTTACTCTGGTGGCTTCAGAAAGGGGTTTGTGTTCGGCTCTTCTCTCCCTCTCCCAGCTGGCAATTCTTCAGCCTCAAGATCAGTCAGCAACTCCAGACTCATTTCAATCTTACCCTAGAAAGCCAGAGACACAAGAACAGGGGTTGGAGTAAAAAGTCATTCCCGGTGATACATCTCATGCATAAGGCAAAAGTGGGATCCCAATTTGTGAACCAAAGCATCAGATAACCAATATGTCAGCCTTAAGAACTTGGGTACTTTGCTCAGTCTTCCTTCATTAGTACTCCATGTCTTAAGAAACAACGTAGGATGAATTCAAATAGCCATCATAGACTTGCAGGAAATATTCTGTGCTGTCTGGATTGGTAGACATGAATCTGGAGCATAAACACCAGCAAGATACTTCAGCCTTTTGGGTTGGTCTGAACCAGACTTTCCCCAGGCTGATGTTCTCCAAGATGAGTTCATGGCCATTCGTAACGCATACATCTGGGAGGCTTCATTTTGTGGGATGCTGGGTCAAAGACACGGAGATGCTGAAGAAACAAAATATTTCAGAAGAACGCTCTTTCCAAGGTGGAGGGGTTAAAAATGAACACATCTGCCTCCTAATGGAATATTAACTCAGACTTAGAAGCCGAGGCCTGAGTGATCATCAAGAGATGAGAGATTCCAGTACTCCAAGTTCTTAACTGGCCCATCATTGCCTGATCCATTGTGCAGAGAATCCAATATCCAATAGCATACAGGCAATCCTCGGCTTATGACCACACCTGAGCCCAAAATTTCTCTTGCTAAGTGAAATCAACCATTTGCTAAGTAAGTTTTGCTCATTTTACCACATTTCTTGGCACAGTTGTTAAGTTAGTAACGTGGTTGCTAAGTGAATTTGATTTCCCCCATTGATTTGGCTTGCCAGAAGATGATCACGTGGCCCTGGGACCCTGCAACCATCATTAATATGAATCAATGGCCAAACCTCTGAATTTTGATCACATGACCCTGGGGAGGCTGCAAAGGTCGTAAGTGTGAAAAACAGTCATAAGTCCCTTTTCTCAGTGCTGTTGTAACCTCGAACGGTCACTAAATAAACTGTTGTAAGTCGAGGACCCCCTGTAATTGGATGTTTTAGAGATAGCCTACTCTCCCCCTGCCCCCCCAATCTTTCCGTGACTTACGGACACTCGCGGCTTATCTTTCTCGAAGACGATGCAAGGCCACCAGCCCCTCATATTCCTCTGGGCGAACAGGGAAATGCACTTTTGTTTGCGTCGGCGAAAAGGGTTGGAAGAGCCGGCAGCACTGCTGTCGTCCTGCAGGACTTTCAAAGTGCAATCACGAGGCCGCTTGGCCGGTCGTGGGATGCTGGTCAAGTTTATTTCCAGATTGCCTGCAGGAGGAACACAAATGGTTAGGAAAACGAGCTAGTGAGAAATGAATGTGATATGTTATTTTGAGTATATATTAATAAGAATGATATGCATTAACTAACTGATACTGTTTATGATTATCATTTATTACACTTATTACAGTTACTTATTACTACATCAACTATTGTTAACTGAACACATGTACCCAGACAATAGTCTGTTTGCTAAAGATTGAAAATGTTATTGGGGGATAACCCCAATGTTGACCCCAACCCTAAACCCTAATCCCTATCCCAATCCTATTCTATCCCCAATCCTACAAAACTCAATAAAATTTTTAATAAAAAAATATATAAGGTCTCCTGCCTTGAGCAGGGGGTTAGACTAGAAGACCTCCCAAGGTCCCTTCCAGCCCTATGAATCAAGAGTGATGATGCTAGCCTGCTTCAGCTGGGTTTGCATACTATGTTAATCTTGGGCTAACAAGATATTACAACTGGGTTCACACAATATGCTGTCTCCAAAAGAAAATGTACATGGTGGTTTACTGTTATATCCTGGCTTTTACGATATGCTAAGAAAATGGGATCCATGAGATTTAAAATCACAAATATCCGCCCTGCTTTTCACACAGTCTGGTGAGGTCTACAAACTCAGTTTTCAAGCAGGGTCTGATCTGTCTTATTTTAGCAGCAGGCAGAGCTGGGGTGTGTGTGCAGAGTTAAGCATGTTACCAGCCTAGAATAATTATGTTCCCACAAAGGGTCTAAGTCCAACTCCTCTTGAATTCCATCTTCGCTTGGAGAATCCAAGATGAGCATGGAGAAACTGAAGTTATTCTTTCTTGCAGCTGATGCATTCTCTTGCATTTTTTTCCTGTAACTTTATTACAGATAGTCCTTGTTTAGTAGCTACCTTGGACAGCGACCGTTTGCAGTTACAAATGGTGCTGAAAACATAACTTTGCAACTATTACCCGCATTTAAATCTTCTGCATTATTATGTGTTTGCCATTGAAGCCAGGATGTGCTGTCCTCCATAAAATCATAAGCACGATCACGGGATTTTTCACTCAGCAATTGCTTTGTTTAATGACCAAGTTGCCAGTCTCAATTGCAGTTATTAAAGTGGACTATCTGTATTGGATTTATTTCTTGGCGACTCTCCAGGAGCTCAAGGTAGCCTACATGAATACAGAATTGGAAGGGACCTGGGTGGTCTTCTAATCCACCCTCTGCTTGAGCAGGAGATCTTATACCAGGGGGTGTCCAAGCTTGGCAAGTTTAAGACCTGTGGACCTCAACTCCTAGAATTCCTCAGCCAGCCATGTTCAAAAATCTTACCTATGAAATCATCAGCTGAGAATTTATCATTATCCCAGACCTGGATAATCAGTTTTGGAGGTACTTTCTGCATGGTCTCATCCAGACTCCAAAAATGTTGCTGCAAAGAAAAACGGATGGGAGGAAAATGGGCATCAACCATAGTAACTGTGCGAGAGAGAGAGAGAGAGAGAGAGAGAGAGAGAGAGAGAGAGAGAGAGAGAGAGAGAG